TTACTTAAATGTTTTGACAGCCACAATTCCTGCTGATTGGTACAAGCACTTTTCTGTAACAGTTTAATAAGTAATACTTGGTTTTTAAATGCTGAAATGTTAATTAGCTGGAGAGTGTTCTTTCCATCACCAGCACGATGTTTTGCCCTGACTAGGTGCCGCAAGTTATCTTAGGGAAGACACATGCAGGAAGGTGATTGATGTGACTTACTGGGAAAGGAAGGAAGAAGTGTCCTCTGGGAAGGCTGTGGGAATGGCAGGCACAGTCAGGTCTGGAGCTGGGTGTGTGAGAAAGGGGGAAAGCAAGTAGTGTCTGGAGTGCCTGGAGCAGGAGGGAAGGCATGAATGCCAAAGGCTGGTCTTTCTTTTGTGATAATGCATGATGAGCAATGTTTTGATGAATTGGGACTTAACAAACCTTTTACTTCCCACATTTTGGCTGCTTTTCAAAGTTTCTAATTAGGTTTGGGAGGGGGTTAGTTTTTTTTTATTATTATTTTTTATTTAGGGTAGTAGTGAACCTTTTTCTGCAAAGGAGTATGTGCTGTGTCACATAGTCTCGTTGTGGATATTCAGCTATCTGTGTAGATCCATGTGTTTTCTGTGGTCAGTTTTATTTACTGTTGATATTGTCTTATGTTCTTACCTTTCCTATACAAAATAAACATAAAACTACACAAAAATGGATGAACTGTTAGGGAAGGAGATCCAATGAAAAACAAAACAAAACAAAGAAAAAAAAGAAAAAAAGGAGAGAGAACAGGCAAACCTCAAAGTCTTTAAACTTGCTATTTCAAAACAGCAAGCAACTTCTAAAGCACAGGTCAGATGGTACTAGTCTTATTGCTCTAACCATAGCAGAAACACAGAAATGTGATTAAATAAATAAAGCTAATCAGAAGCAAAAGAAAAAAAAGTTTGCAGTAAAAACAACTCAATTTAACCTATTCTCTGAGGACTTTGAAAGAAAACATACTTCTAAAGATGTTCTGTGAGAGACTTTAGGCACAGCTGCAGAAAAAAGAAGGTATCCTTTCCCTCTGTTTGGAAGGATTAAATCTGTTCTGGAAATTAAACAAAGTGGACAAAGTTTCACAGAAACAACAGACTGGAGCCTAGAATGTGAAAAACTATGAAAAAGAAGAAAAATGTCCTGTAAAAAGGCTACTGGATCATTTTAAGGAACCTTAATGACAGAGTAAGTAACTCAGGCACATTAACTCTGTATGTCATTGTCTCCTGTTATATGGAAAGTATCCTAAAAGGAATTTTTTCAAAAATAAAAGTAGTAGCAGACAAAACCAGATAGCAATTCCCCTAGTCTAAGTCTATAAATCCATAAAATAAGTAAGTTTATATCAATCTATGGATGTGAGACTGTTCCATAGAAAGTAACATTTTCTGAATTATAAAGGCCATGAAAATGTTTTATTTCTGTAGCTGGATGTATGACCTGTCTCTTCTTCTTTCTTCTTCTTCTGATCCCTCTACAAATGTTAATGAATACCTAAAAAAGGAACAAAATACCCCAAGTCTTAATTTCCTGTATCTAGTAGAGATCAATGATTGAGAGTACTAAGGCTTGATGTTTAGAACTAGAGGAGTTTACCTCTAATCTGGAATGAAATAAAAGGATGGAGTTGTAAAGACCCCAAAGCATTACTAAGATCAACATTCTCAAATAAAGTTGTGGATCTGGGAGGCAGTTTTAAAGTCTGTTCCCATGGCTGAGCAAAATTCCTGCAGCATGGGTGTCATGCTGTAGAGCTGGAGCATATTTGCAGGGACTGTGGATAGCCAGAAGTCTTGCTGTTCAGTGAGATGACTGTTTTTTCTCATCTTGACAAATGACACGAAGCTCTGACAGAATACTTCTCCTTTGCTGGCCATCACCCCTACGGACACTGGCCAGAACAGCAGCAGCAGGAACATACCCTCCAATTCTGATTTAATCACATGGAGCCCAGGAGACTAGTGAATAGAGCTGTTAACTCTCTGTTTGGTTTGCTTTTCCCATCTGTGTTTTATTAAATCGAGAGCAAGATTTATTCACTTTTTTAAACATCAGGATCTGTTGGTGTCCAAGATGATGGCTGATGTTAAGGTATACATACACAGTTTAACCTGGCTGAGGGCCAAAGAGGCCTATGATTTCCAGCCTAGACAATTTATTTGCAAAAGGACACAAAATCCCTCTACTCTCAAATATTTCAGAAAGGATGAGCACGACTTCCCAGTCTCCCAGGAACACAATACATAAAAACCACAGTGAAAGAGTCAGCTCTCCAGGAGGAGCCAGGCTCTCCAGGCATGCAGGCAAACACTTCAGTTTTACTGTACTCCTGACAACCCCTACATAGTCACAAGTACCAATGATTTTCTGATTTCCACTCCAGGAATCTTAAATAGATTGGATACCAGCTCAGTCTATAGATATTTCTTCTAAAAGCCAAGAATCCTGAATGGCTCAGCTGGTGAATTGCACTTTATGGGAACTGAAATTATGTGCCAGGCTCTCCACTGTAAGGTGGGATAGCTAAAGCACAGACACTTGCATTCCTAATGAGCTACTGCAAGAATAACACTTGCTTCTGAAGGAGAATAAAAGGAACCAAAAGATGGAATTTTGAATTGATTTGAAAAGATGAACTTTCTGTTAAACAATAGGGTTAACTCAAGATAGAAAGATCAAGCATGCAATTTTCAGAACTGTAAAGAGATTTCTTTTAAACATGTAAGTTTCAAGCAACAACAGATAAAGCTCCCAAAATAGAGCTTTATTGCAAACAGCCCCCAAGACTCTTGACACTTTGCCAGAACTTCTGGGCATTTTCTTCTTAACAGCAAATTCCGTTCCAAAATGTACCACTCTCCCCCTCATCTCTTAGTCATCACCCATCTCATCAAAACTAGCATGGTGACAATCCACTTACTCCAGTGCCTTGCTACTATCCCTGCAAGTATACTGTGGATTATCATGTCTGCCAGATTTGTTGTCATTTGTAAAACCTCTGCATGCGTGTCTTTCCAGGCAAATGCCTTCGTAACATCACATGAGTATCATACTGGTTGTGGCACCTACATAGAGCATCATCAGATAACAACGATTCTTGTAATACTAAGGCTCATGGTATTCCCATATGGCAATAAAAAGTATTCTGAAGACAAAATTGTTATCACAATAGAGCTTAGAAAATAAACTGTATCCCTCAAAGCTTGCTAATAGCTCACCGTTGGTTTTCTTAAAACAGTATTTCTATCCCTCGAATATCCATCTACCCCAGAAACTTTAATACAGACTGCAGAATCTGCTTCCATGTGTGATATTTCCTGTTCTGAATTGACTTTCAACAGTAACAAAAGAACAATGACTTTTGTTACTCTTTTATTCAAGTATGGTCTTTTTTTCCATGATCTTTCACAATTTTGTCATCTGTGAGATGACAGTAAGAGCTGTGCATGAGCCAGTACAAATTAAGCAGTATTCATGTCCTTTCTCTTTTTTACAGCTTTTAAGAATACTGGCAGAAAATGATGGAATCTGCAAGTTTTATTTTTCATGGTTTCTAATGAAAAAAGTATTTGAATTGTATGCAGTGTTAACTTGAAGTGAGGACTTGGTCACTGTACTGAGTCATATCCTTCAGACCCAATGCAGTTTATGCATTTTATTCAGTACATTAAAAGCAAACTGTATGTAAGTGATTCCTAGGGCAGGTAGCAGACACAAGGAGAAGTACCTAATTTCTAAACACTGTGCTAAAAGCCCCATGACTTATATTTTTGAATGAAAACCTATGTGTCTGGAGTGCTCCACAGTGAACTAAATTCTCCACTGCGTTAGCTATACCTAAAGCTACAGTTCCCTCAAATTCCCTTCCCTATTTCCCTTTTGGGGAATAGAGGTACAAAGCAGCCTGTTATAGCAATACTACAAGAAACTTGATTTAGCTATTAGAAAGGTGTCAGGGTGACCCATCCCACTGAGGAAGTTATCTCTTGGCATGCACAGTGGCACACTTTGTCAATGCTTAAGGACTTCCAGTGGTGAGAATGCAGGGCTGCTCAGGTTCTAACGTGAGCTGAATCACTGTTTGATATGAGTGCCTTGTATTCCTTGACATGGCTGGGTGCCTAAGCTGGGTTTGGTTTTGGGGTTTTGGGTGGGTTTTTTTGCAAGTTTTTTTCATTTGTTTGTTGTTGTTTTTTTTTTTTTTGTCTGTTTGTTTTATTCCAAAGGGTTTTTTTTTTTTTTCTTCTTCTTAGGGACCACAAAATGTCCTTCTCTTGCTGGCATCAGGATCACCAGCAGTTGCTAGTATTTGCTTGAATACCACTGCAAAGTTCCTTCTTCTCTGTCAGTAGGAGGACAGAAAGCAATCCAACTCCATTGGTACAGGGATATGTGGTACAGGGACTTTGAGCTTCAAGAGATCTTTCTGTATCCAAGAATGCTATATAAGGACTGTTAGGCAAAAATGCCTCTTTTCTCCTCAAAGCTACTCCTATTTACAGCAGACTATTTAGCAGTCATAGAAGCTGCAAAGAAGGCCTCATGCCAAAGGCTTTTTCATTGGTTAAGTATCATCCCATCCAATTGCTCAAATTAAAAATAATTAGTCAAAGACTAGGGATAATGAATCCTTCTGAAGAATCAAATTACTTCCTAGAATAACTGTCAAATTGCCATTTTTATAACCATTAAAGTATTAGGATGGACTCAGTTTGCCTTTTCCTGAAGTGTACTTCAAGTCTTTTCTCAATTTTGGTATAAGTTCATCTGATTTCATAATGCACAGACACTTTCAGATGTCACTGCCTCGAGGTGTAATAATTGCAAAATAATTCCTTCTTCAGATTTTCAGTACTGAATACATGGGATCTAAGGATGGGTTTTATTCTGTCTTTTACCAAATATTCTTTGCAACAGATGTTTAATTAAAGGCTGCTAAACAATTTAAACTTCTCAGAAGAATACAAATAAGAGCTGTAAATGAAGTAAATATCTGTTTAATTTACAAACATCAGTAGCATTACTGATATCAGTCCAAATATGACAAAGCACACTGCATTACACATGTACATCTAACTTTTTTGTAAAAAAAATAATAAAATAAAATTGAAAAAACATCTGCATTTTTTACAGGGTACCCTGGGTTTTACTGAAAGAAGAACACAACCCACTACTGATTACCAATTCTACATTATAATTTAGCAGCAACATGTTAACATGGGGAACATTAGGGCAGTAAAGTAGTTTTATTATTTGGGGAAAGTCACAGTTCTTGATAGCACAGCCTTTTTTTCTTTTTTTATAAAAAAGGTAAAGAGTTCCATGGGAATATTAATTTATAAAGATCTATCTTCTAATGTCATTTTCTACACGCCATCTTATTTTCTGTAAGTACTGTATACAGGGAAAATTAACTTCTCTACAATTGCCATCTAGTGTAAAGCCATACATTACGGGTTCTTGGAAGGTGCCTGAATATCTGCTGTATGTGAATCCGCAGATTGTCACCACTTTCAATTCAGTGACACCAATTGGTCAGATTCTAAGGAAAAGTAAAAGGGAATGGAAAGGAGAAAACAGACTGAAAACATTTACCCCAAGACGACATGCTACGTTAGTTCTATTGCAAAAAATCCTGATTTTTAAGTCCTTTAAAAAAAATTACAAAAATACTGGGACAAATATAAATTAATATATATTAAAGCATTGAAAAACAGTAAAAGGGATGGCCTAAAAGGGTTAAGTACAATGTACTTTGATACAATAAATATTTCTCAATGAAACTGAATACTGTATAGAGTTGTTTAGAACTCATAAAACCAGAAATCCATATTATTACTAATTTATCCATCAATAATCTATTTTATCATCCCCAAAACATTTATATTACAAAAAATTAATACTGGAAAAGGGAAGATAAACACTTTTTTTCTGCTTCTTTCGCTAACATGCTGACATAAAAGTATACATCATCAGGAGATTTCAGGATTATAGTATATTCTTGTATCTCCTATTTCCCATTCATTAAGTGGGACACCATCTTTTCAAGATGCTTAATAATTCCAAAGACAAAATGTGTTTCAATTGTTATTTCTATATAATCTGATTCTTTTCTCTTATAATGCTTCCTCATCCATAGGTAAGTGATTGGTATGGTCTGTCAAGACAATAAAATATACTGATACGGAAATGAAAAAACAAGCCTTGTGTTCTGGTCAATTTTTCATCTCTGAGCTGTTAAGTTGAAAGTCACATGTGTATAGTGTCAGTGTATCTTCAGCATGTTATAAAGAAGAATCCATGTTAAAAGCAGTTAAAATTTCCCATCTCTGTTGCAATGTTACCAGGTCTTTTTTTTTTCTTCAAAGGTCCTCTTGGGTATGAGAAGTCTCAGTTCAAGCACTTGAATCTTTTTTTTCAATGAAGAAAAAGTCTTTATTCTCATAATAAAAATAAGTCTGTTCTGTATTTTACAATATATTTCAAATATTTCCACTATGAAGCATTAATTAGTCCGACACGGTCAATAAGTATACAACATTTTCAAAAGACAAGTGTGACAGGGACACTTAGGAGGGACAATTTGTACAGCCACACTTCACCACTTTTTCAACCTCGTCCACAAATGATGACCCGTCAGTGCATTCAAAAGAGTATTTCCGTCTCTTGCTCCTTAGTGGTCCACAGCACTGCCCGGTTGAACATCCTCCTTTACATTCTAGTCTCGATACCTTCTTGGTCGTCTGGCACGCAGCATACCCTTGCTGCTTTTGGTAGTAATCTCGGACTCGTTCCCCTCGACAAGAGATTTCTGTAGAAAACAACATTTAAAATAAGAGATATGCTTTTGAGAGACAGGTGAAAGAAAGGTTGACATTGCTAAGGAAGATGCTGTGTTACTATTTGCATTTGGGATTGATATTTAAAGTTTGACTCAGACTGTATGTTGGAAACTAGTGGTTCTACCAAACGTAATTTGATTAATGCTGGTTTTTTATTCCCTATACCTCCTGTTTTCAGTAAAGCTTATATTATGTATATGTAAACCATAAATACGAAGCTATTACAATGACAAGAAAATTGGAAGCCTAAATCTTTTCCTCTTTTATAAAAATACACATCTTCTGTTCCTACATTGCTTGCAGCTGGTTCTGTTTACCATAGGGAAATGTTTCGGAGAGCATGCAATTTAATTTATTAGACCTGGAGTTTAATATTATTCAAACTCTTATTTAATATAAGTTACATTCCACTAACTTCATAAATTACTGAGGTAAAAGCCTGCTAAAAATGAGACATCTGTTAAAAGTTCTACAACTATATTCTTCTGTTCTACTCCCATCTATGTACAATACAAAATAAATGCCATCTGGGGTAAGGGAAAGAGAGGGAGAGGGAGAGCTTTGATAGACAAAGGAAAAAGAAAAAGGTAGGGGGAAAAGTCATCCTGTTTTCATCCATCTCACCTGCATAATTCGCTGTGATAAATCAGTTGAAGCTGAGAGGTCAAAAGTAGAGTTTGTGATAAAACTAGGAGCAGAATCATTGGATTTGGCTTCTCAGTTGCAGAAGGTAGAGGAACAATAAATACAGAAAGATACAGCAGGTAAAAGGTAATAGTTAAATATAGTAAAAATGTGTTTCTGAATAAAGGCAAAAAAAAATGTTTTCACAGCAAAACATTTGATGAAAAAATCCTCAAAATGTAAACAAATTCATGGGAAAAGTTTGATCTTTCTCTCACCAAGATAAAGTCTTATGGTAGAAAAAAAAAGCAACAAATATGTGTGTTGTGGAAAAAAAAATTTGGTCATGTTTTTGACTGTTCATGTGTTTGGCTGTTCATGTTTTAATAAAAAAAAAGCTATTTTCTAAGACTATAACAACAACATTACTTATTTTTTTTTACCTTTATCACAGCTGTCCCCCGTGTATCCGCTGCCACATTCGCAATATGGTTTCCCAAGTCCTGAAAGCCTACATTTGCCATGTTTACACCTGATGGATTGGCAGGGGTTAAACAGCATTTCCTCTTCATCACAGAGGACTCCCCCATGTCCCTGCAGGCATTTACAACTGTATGAAAATGCATTGATCGGCAAGCAGGTACCATGCACACATCTACAGGGGAAACAAGCCCAAGAGAATAAAAATAAATTATTCATCAAAGTTCAGGCTAAGCAACATTAACTACAAATACTTTGGACTGTACTCAGAAGAAATTGTTTTTGTTTCTAATGGACTTTTTCAGTGAGATGCAGTGAAGTGGTTTAATTGGTATGCAGGTTTACACAAAACAAGCTGCAGTACAAAACTCTCTCTCACCAGAAAATAGCCACTGTAGATGTGTTATGGAAGACTTTTACAGGTCACTGTTACTGAAAACAACATTTCTTGTCTACCTAGATTTTCAGCATGCTTTTGAGAAGAACATAGCAAAATCAAGCCACAGAAAAATGATACTCACCTGAAATTCTGGTTCATGTATCATGTAAAAGAAAGCCCAAATTGTCAGTCATGAAGTATGGGGCTCCCAGCACAAGGACAGGTCAGGCACTTCCTAACAGAAACTTTTCTGACCCAAGCAGTGGCAGTTTCAAAGCCGAACATGTGCTTCCCCTTTAAATATATTAGTCTGCATTGCCAGCTGCCAATAGCAGCGTCTTAAAATGTATGAGGCAGGTGTTTGCTTCACTGCAAGACAACAGCACTCATCTAGTTCTCATGCAGAAGCCCACATTAGATAAGGTCTCATCAAGTCTCACCCAGGGTGATTACACTAGGTAATCTCTCAGTTGAGCTTTAGTAAACATTTCTGGCAGCCTCGAATCTTGTTAGACAAAAAAATATTGTGAGTTAAGCTGCATCTGCTAAGTTCTGACATACAGTAGTATGGGAACGCACAGCTGGTCTTATTTCTCTTTGAGAGTGAGGTAGTGGTTCCCAAAAGGAGGATGTTTAATTGCCTATTCCTAGGTGTAAGCTGAACATTAGGGGATTTCATCTTCTGAAAACATCACCAATGACTTGGAATGAAATCACTTTCCTTTGTTCCTTTGGTAGTACAGGGTCAATAACTTTCTTCCTAGATATAATGCTATTCTCTTTAGCTGTTGCACTGACAGACAAGTTTTCTATCTACATATTGCTTCCCAGGGAAACACCTGGGAATCTTCACCACAGTGAAGATTCCTGTGCTGGGAGGAATGCAATCCTGATATTCAAGACCACAGTCACCTTTCTCAATGTTTCTCCTCTCTAAGGCTTTTCCTCTCTATATTGTAAGATCCTTGAGCTCACAACCTCCCTAGTAGGCTGTGGCAGCCACCTAAATAAATGAGAAGTTTTAGCTTAAAAAAAGAAAAAAAATTAAAATCCCATTTGATCTAAAATAAAAAAAAATTGTTTCAATTTCAAGATGGCAAAAATTAATCTAAAATTGCATGTCATAGTAAAAGAAGAATTCTGAGTAACAATTCATTTTGAAATTTTTTAGCTAACATATTCTGTATTCCTGAAAACTTTTTTCTTTGTTCCCTACTCCTTCAGTAAATAAGAGATTTGGTAAAATTGAAAAGTGCGCAATACTTTTCAACTCTGAAAAATTGGCATTAACTATTTAAAATAGTTTCATTTTATAAAGATCAACAAGTTCCACCCATCAATGAAATCTCCACTACAATTCTCCATCTCTAATTCTGTGCAAGTGCTTTAGGCACTTAAGAGGAAAAAAGAGTATGTGGAATCAGTCTCATGACAGGATATTTAAACAGAAGGCACAACACGTAGCCTCCATTCACATAACCAGTTTGGGATTAAAAATTGCAAATATAAAATTGATATCTTAAGCACCTCCAGCTTTCCTATTAGTCTGTATTTTGAAGGAACTGTGTTCCCTACAAAAATTACAAATTGTTTCAGTGGTTGAAGTCTGATATTCCAAGACTTATTAAGAAATTCAAAATTGAAGGCTTAGACAGTATCACAGAGCAGATAGCTTTTGTTTAGTTTTCATTATGTTCAGCATTTGATCTGTTCACCATTTACAAAACATCTGCTTTTAGGACATCTGATCTACGAAGTTACTCAGGTGACACTGACATTATGTCATATTCTATACAGGCTACTTTAAATATCAAAGTAATCTGTGCCAGGATCTTTGGTAAAGTTTTGCTTGACTTAGAAGATGATTAAATCTTAGCTAATGCCAGCTCTCATACTTTTGTTTCCACCTGCTCTTTGAAGCTCTAAATTTCATCTTCAGACTGTACTGAAAGGAACATCAAGCTAAGTGCAAACTCTTGGGCACAATTTCATCTCATCTAATTTTAGGTACCTCTGTCAGGCACTCAAGTTAGATGTATAATTGCCATAAGCTCCATACACAGTCATGGACAAAAATAAACTTATCCAGGGGGTGTTTAGACAAATTGAAGTCTAAATTACTCTTTTGAAATGTGTTTATTCCTTTATTGACTAGAGAAAAAATTTTGGTCACTATGTTTTGAATTCAAGCACCTGGAGTTAGGTAAAATAAATCTAAGTCTTAAGCCTTTTCATGATGTGCAGGGATCTCTAAAAGATAACCTATATTTTTGAAACAGAGATCACAGTGACAACTCTGTTTCTCAGATAAAGCAGAATGTTGTACTGTATTAGAGGGAGACAAGGTATCTATTCAATAGACACAATTTAGAGATGAATCAAGAAATACAGTATCAAAATCCTCAGGAACTAAAGAACAACAAAGCCCACCTTCACTCAAAATACACAGTTTTGGTTTGGCTTTCTCTCTTAAAAGCTCATAGCACTGTATACAGCTTAAACAAACCCAATACCTCCGAGAGCAAACAAAATATTAATGCTATGCTCACTTAATTCTGCCTTTGATACTGCCTGTATCTGATACTGATATCTTTGTAATTTGCTGCAAAAAACCGGTCAGTTTGGGTGCTGATGTGCACAGTTATAAGAACCTCTGAAGAACCTAATATTTCATGGATAGTTTAAAGAAATTCTCTGGCTTTTCTTATAATAGGACTTGTGGTTACAGTTTGAGGTTATTTTTCACTCCTAAAGTATAAAATGGATATGATAAAAGTTGCATTTGTATTTTTTAACCTGCTGTGACTCCCTTTCATTGAAGTTACTGTGAAAGAGGACAGAGTAAGAAAGAGATCTATAAACAATGAAATTCTATAATGATATGCTTCAAAAATTCACTGTTCTAGCTCTGGGAAGAGTTCAAAACTTAATGATACTGAAAGACTACAATCAATGTAAACAATGCTAACAGCATTGTAAAGCACACTAACTGCTGTATAAAGCTTTAAAGCATCAGATTCTCCACACACGATGTGAAAAGATCATTTAAACATCATTTTAAATGGGACTTGAAAACCATCTTATTAGAATCTCTTAGCAAACTCAAGCCACTGGTCCTTAGTTTGTAAAAAGTTACATAGGCCAGAGCACTGAAAAAACCAGCAGCCAAAAGATTCAAGCAGGCCTACTTTACTCTAAAAAAAACCCAACCAAAGCCAAAAGTCAAAAAGTTGTTTGCCAAGCTGTAGTGGGGACAGTGGTAAGGACAAACAGAATGATATCTTGTTGCCCAAGGTCAATAAATCCTGAAGAACTCTGAACTTCTGAAGTTTCTGATCTTCTTGTGCTGGGTATCCATGAACTAAAAAACTGAATCTGTCTCTACAGTAAATTTAAAAGATGTATATGCATAAATATCACTGTCATACACATATACATCTATCTTTTTCTCTCTCTACAAATTTATATACATGAACTTGTCTATAGACATATATAAAATGTCCAAACTAGAACTAGCAAACAGAATTAGCACACAAGGACTTAAACAAAAGTTTACCATAAAGATCAAAATCTACTTTTCTGCTAAAACCTGGGGCACTATGAAAGTACAAAATATTAGATATGTCATATCAAATTTTTTAAACAGAGTAGAGAATATTAATATTAATAATAACAATAATAATATTATTTCCTCATTCTATACAATGATAAGTAAGCAAATAGAATTGTTTCCATTTGCAACTTCTTCTAAATGATTTTTATACCAAGGGTCATGAGTGCAACTCATTACAGAAGCAGCCCATACAGAAGTATGTAAGAGCACCTCCCAGGTTTTAGGCAAAACTGATTCCCTAAACTGGGAACTTTTCCTCATTAGGTTTATGGAAAGAATAAACTATAACTGGAATGCTCTTTTCATTTTTACATGCCCGGCTATTTTGCTTTTGCAAGTGTGAACTTTTATGAAAAAAATACACATAACAGGAGACTTATATGCATAATATACTACTGTTCTGTCTTGAGGGAAGACATACTTATTTCCAAGACACGGGTCGTTAGTTTGTTGATCACAGAGGGGTCCAGTCCATCCTCCTTCGCACTCACAGGAAAAGCCTGACTGGCTGGTAGCATGGCATGTTCCATGCACACAGACTTTTTTATGACAAGGCTCACAACCTGGCAGAATTCCCACTTGCAGTGGCACATTTCTGAAGTCCTGAAGTTCACTGTTGATATACAGATTACGGATGCAGCCATGAAAGCTAGTGCCGTTCTGTCCTGGAGACTGGCGTAAAGCTGCTATGTTATTTTTCACAGGCATGCCTAGAAAATTAATAATAGCAAATAATCAGTGTAATCAGTTACAATTTTCTGCACCAGTTTCTCTATCTTTTACACATTTTTAAAGAAAGATTTCTTCTCAATTAATTATTCTTAGATACTCAGACTACAACCATAAACTAGTGACGAACAATCAACTGGAAATCGTCCTGGTTGTCAAGCATGCATGTAAATCAGCTCCAAACCTGCAAGTCTCTAGGTCACACTTCAGACCTCATCATACAAGAACCTCAGAACTCTGAGAAGGTCAGCTAGATGCCTGGTTTTGAGCTAGTGAAGTTAAGTCCAGGATAGCACATAATTTCTGAATCTCAGAAAAACAGCAGCTGATGATTTTTTGTAAGATAAGATACTCAAATCCAGAAGAACTCAGTAAGACCAGTTCATCAAATTGGAGCTGCCACACACATTTCAAATGTGAAATTTTACTATGGAAAATATCTTGGAAAGAAAAGTTTAACAGATGAGGTTCCATTACTTTCAAAAATACTTTTGTTTAGCATGTCTCAAAAACAGATTAATAAAATAAAAATAAAAGACACTCGCAGTTTGCCCTTACAGTCTAAAAGAGTCAATAATAAAAATAATTCAACATTAAACTACTTTTGTGTATATATTTCTATGTAGGGCAAACACCTCCAAATGTTGATAATTTTCAAGTCTGTAGCTTTTACAGGTGTATATGTGATGCAGTTATCATGTTGTGATTGGTTAATCATTTAAGATTAATTCAGAAGGAACATTATTCTTAAACCTTGTTTTCTTGTCAATATGAAGGTTCTTCTACTCCTACACCCCGTTTTCTTTTTGGTTTTGGGGGTCTTTTTTGTTTGTTTTTTTGTTTTGTTTTGTTTTGTTTTTAACTTATTGCCAACATATTGGCCTATAGTAGGTAGTCCTTAAGATATTACTTTCCAATCATGAATACACAAATGCCTAACTACCTCCTGAGACTCACAAATAGAGGAAATCAAAGTGCACTGAGCGTTAGGAAAGGATCTGGTTTTACCTGTAAATAAACATTCTTATTAACTGCATTGTTTCTAGGCAAAATTAACAATTTTCATTCTGGTACTTAGATAATGACAGAAAGTGGCAATGTTCTGCATAGTTGCTCCTTAACCAAGTAAACCGATACTTCTAATGACATTCTATAGTTATGCTGAACAATTAGGAGTAATGCAGAGTGCTGTGCAACCTAATCAAGTAGACCTGCCTTTCATTTAGAGGTTATTGTAATTTCATTTGTGCTAGGCTTCAGTGATTATAGAAATGAACAATATTGCATCCATACTGTTGAAGAGCCTAACCTTCTTTGATCTTATCAGTTAAGGAAATGCACTGGGTTTGTGTGGCAGGGTTTTGATAACGGGGAGGCTATGGGGTGGCTTCTGTGAGAAGCTGCCAGACCTGCTGCTGGCCAAGGTCGAGCCACTCAGTGACAGTGGTAATACATCTGTGATAACATATCTAAAACAGAGAAAAACCCAAACAAGTCATTGTGCAGAAGTAATTGCAGCCAGAGAGAAGTGAGAATAAGTAAGAGGGACAACTCTGCAGATACCAAAGTCAGCGAAGCAGGAGGTGCTCTGGGTGCCAGAGCTGAGATTCCCCTGCAGCCTGCCCATGGTGCAGCCCATGGTGACACAGCTGTCCCCCTGCAGCCCATGAAGGTCCATGGGGGAGCAGAGATCCATCTCATGGAGGAGCCCCACACCAGAGCAGGTAGATGCTTGAAAAGAGACTGTGACCCCATGGGAAGCCTGTGTTGGAGCAGACTCCCGGGAGGACTTGTGGAACTGTGGAAAGAGAAGCCCACACTGGAGCATGTTTTCTGTTGGTCTTGTGGGGGACCCACACTGGAGCAGCCTGTTCCCGAAAGATTGCACCCTGTGGGGAAAAAGGGACCCATGCTGGAGCAGTTCATGCAGAACCACAACCCGTGAGAAGGACTCGCGCTGGAGAAGTTTGTGGAGAACTGTCCCACTGGAGGGACCCCACGCTGGAGCAGGGGAAGGACTCCTCTCCCTGAGGAGGAAGCAGTGGCAGAAACAACACGTGATGATCTGACTGTAACCCGCATTCCCTGTCTACATGCATTGCTTGAGGGAAGGAGGCAGAGAATCAGGAATAAAGTTAAGCCCAGAAAGGAGAGAGGAGAGGGAGGAGGGTGTCTTCATGAATTTTTTTACTTCTCATTATCCTACTGTGATTTTGATTGATAATAAATTCAATCAATTTCTTCAAGTTTAGTCTGCTTTGCCCGTGACAGTAATTGGTGAGTGACCTCTCCCCATCCTCACCTCAACTCATGAGCTTTCATTATATTTTTTCTCCCCTGTCCAGATGAGGAGAAGAGTGATAGAGCAGCTTTGGTGGGCACCTGGCATCCAGCCCAGGTCAAACTACCACAGTAAAATTGGCATGGAACTATAGTATTAAAGGACTGAGACAGCAAATGATCATGAGTTCCCATTTCCTCACATCTACTTGCCATTTTTGCAAACCATGGACAAGGTAGAGTCATCAAGGCCCCTTCACACTGTTGTCTCTCTTGAAAGCAACACTCAGCAAATGTTTAGGCATATGACTTGAAGTATCTCATAGCAGAATAGATGTACTGAAATTACCCTTTGTAAAAATAAAAGGTGTATAAAGCTAAGCACACCAATGCAATGCTAAACTAGCTGTTATACTAGTGTGATGAAATTTAGATGTTATTTCTGGGCACCATATAAGCATGTATGATACCAGGTAAAAGGAGGTATATCACACGTGATTCAGAGATTTTTTTGTCTTTAATCTCTAATAAGGAAGACATTTGGAAACACAATGCAAGCATATACATAAGCTTTTAGCCTATACACTTTTTGCTTCTTCCAGCAAGTTAGAAGGCCAAAGTGTGTGCAAAAGTTTTAGCAATTTTTCTTAGATAATTTTTATATAAGGTTCTTTACCAGTTAGGAAAGAACTGCCATAGAAACAATGCAGAGAAATATTTCAGATCTATTTTTGGTAAGGTAAGAGAGTAGTTCCCATCCTCTTTTGAGCTTTTGGTCACTGAACCTGACTATAAATCAATTACTGCTCAAGGAGGTAAATGGTAAGACCTCTATTAAATAAGTCATACAATAAAACTGTCAAAATTAGTATCTCATTCTAGAAGCTGCTAGAAATGAGCAGGTACAAATGAGAAGCAGCTGATACCCTACCTGTCTCAGAAACAGGGAAATCCATGAAACAAGAGGCCACTCTCAACTAGTGAAATATGCTCTAATTTCTAAGAGAAGAATGTGAAGTATCAGTGATGTCTGTGACGCCTTTGAAGAATTTTTGAGAAGAAACAGATTGTCCCTTAAGACTTCTTACAAAAAGACATGGGTTTGCAATATGATTTACTGAAATTTGTTATAGAAAGACTGAAAAATATCTAGTGTGTGTATTCTGACCACACAAAAGAGCCATACAGTTGGGAAAAGGTAAAAAAAAAAAAGTTTAAATCGATTAGCTCAGTTTTTTGGTAAAAATAATGTTAAGTTACTCCTTCCGAACCAACTTAAATATTGTGACCCAAGAGTAACATTGAAAAAAACCAAAAAAGAAGCTGGGGGGAGGCAGGGAGAGAGGGAATAAGAGGGGATGAAAGGGAATGAAAGCACATACCATACAAGGGCTTGCTGTCAAGTCTCAATTTCATCCTGCCAGATGAGGTGATGCTTATCAGAAATGCCATTTTAGCAGGAAAGTGGCAAGAGTAAGCGTAAGCTACGTGATGATATAGGTGTCAAACTAAAATTTTGGCAAAGATAAAAATACTGCATAAAATCGTAGTGAGAATTTAAGTTCTTAACTGATAGAAATGTGTGATCAAATTCTCTAAAAATCTAGATACAGTTGGATAAGAAAAAAATTAATGACTCTCAAAAAGATGGGTAAAGAAAGACACAAGACTGGTAAGTAACTGGCTCAAGAATTTTAAAATTGTAAGTAGATAAATTAGATAAACATAGATAAAGAACAGAAAATCTTAAGAGCTGACCATCAACCTACTGAGTTTTTTTCCTTCATTTTGTTATAATGTTCTTATAATATTGGTTTTCAATTTTTTGGGCCAACATTTTCTATGAAAGTAGAAATAATTGTCTGCTTGAATCTTAAACATGAGGAATTGAAATACAAGAAACACAGGACCTCTCTAAAGAATATTCACTAGGACAAAAAAGACTGCCGCTCTTAGGAATCAAACCAATTTTCTGACTTTTACTTAGATTACAGAGGCCCATCAGGATTCCAACAGGAACTTAAAAAAATTATTCTTCTGATACTTCTAAATGACGAGGCAGATGAGTAAGATTCTGCTAATGGAGGCACAGATCTTCAAGGTGAAGAAGCAAGGAAGAGAACCGTATGTCACAAATCATCATCTCAGTGTCAAGAATGTGCCCTGAATGAATGTTTATAGTGGGCAGTGTAGCCTCATTTCATCAAAAGGTGCCTGTGATAGACAGGGGGATTATTTTGCACTACGTTCAGCTTTCAAGTAGTGCAAATGGCCTCAGCAGTCATTAAACAAAGTGATGTTGACAATACAAGTAAGCAAGCACACACTGACTTATTAGAATGTAGGACCAACTCTTCTTCCAAAAAATAGCAGCACAGGATACTGTGTAAACAATGGAGGTGATACACATGAAAAAATGCAATGTGCTTCCACAGAGCAATCTTCCTTTGAAGATTCATGATGTGAAGCAATTTTAAAGGCAGTTAATACATTTGATAACATTAATTCTTTTCTCTGTTAGTATGTAGAGTGACGGCTAACATTGAATTCTATCTTATAATTCTTCCCATTTTAGATGGGTGGAGGCAATGACAAAATTCGAAAAGATCTGACAAAAACCTGAAGTGTTTCAAGGGAATAATGGGAATTTTCAGATAAGTCATGTTACTTTTCATCACTTGTAACTGAGGCACTGGTTATACCAGTTTTATAGGAGAAATAGTCAATTCTTGATTAGGATCAAAAGCAGCTGGTTTTATTTTCCATTAGAGAGAAATCTGAGTAAGTACCCTGAGCTTTTCTGTGTATTTAGAAAGAGGATAACTAGCACCTTTTCTAGAGAAAGTAGTCATCTCACAAATGTATTACTGGTAGCATAATTTTTTGCAAGGAGGCAAGATGCTTCTAAAATGTTATTCTCAGACAAAAAAAAAGTTCTTAAGAATTAGACAAAATGAAAAAGAAAGTAGGTGTTCTTTTTACAGAAAGAACAGATCAGAAGGAGATTCCTTACATGCCTCCTGTAAGACCATAAGGTTAAAGCAGTACTTAAAAACCATGCCGAATCTCTGATCACTAAGAACTTAGACTTGCTACCAAGGTAAGTAAGGAGGCACAAAGTGGTGGCTGAATTTTCTGACTTTTACTTAGATTACAGAGGCCCATCAGGATTCCAACAGGAACTGCTGGTTAAAACAGTGTGCTTGAATCCATAGTTCTACAGAGTATATTCCACCAAATGATCAAAAAATTTTCAAATAATTTAGCTCCACCAGTTTTACTTAAACAAACCACTCTTTCTTCTCAAAACAAACAAATAAAAAACAAGCCCTGCCACATACTGTGAGGCAGCTGTCCAGTTGGTTCCCTTCTTACCTAGTGTCCTAACTCCTATCAACCCTAAGCAGTAAGATCTCTAGACATTTATATTTCAATTATATTTCATTGCTTTCATTGCTATCATTTTCTGCAGATACCTGTACAGTGAAATAGTAAAATGTCAATGTAAAACATGAGCAAAACAGAACGCTACCATTCTATACTTTCTGAATAGGCATTAATAAATCTTCATGTAGCTAAACAATGCTAAGCACTCTTCTTCAGTATAATAAAATGCTAAGTAACAGTAGAAAATTACAGAATTTTGCAGTGGTAAAAAATAAATGTAATTATAAAAAAGCAACAGGTTCAGTTTGAGGGCATACTATTTGTTAAAATTGAAACTATTGAGATTAACTGCTTGTGTTTCATCTTAAGGTGTTATCCCAATAAATGAGTCTCTTACCATGTGTTTATTAAAGCATGTTACCAGAGTAAATTAGCTATGATACTTCTAGTAAGAAGCAGTAAGATCTCCTTACCTCCTACATACAGCGGAGAATCAAAATTCAGAGTGGACTGCTTGGACAAATTGGTAATTATCTTGGGGCTTCCTCCATCAATAGATAAAGATAGAATCTGATCCATAGCTAGCAGCTCCACAATGTGGAAATTGCCATCATTAATTGTTTCCACACTGCAAAATAAACATGAATATTAAACAGTTTATGGTCTGGTTAGAACATTTTTTTACCTTCTTTCCTTGTAAGAGTTAATAGAGTTTCAGAACAGAACTTCTCCAGAAGTGCAGTCTCCTGAAAGCTAGGTTTTAAGCAAAGAAATGCACATATGCCTAAAAGCTAATACAACACCCCTTTCTCTGCAACAGTGATCACAGGGCTGCAACACCTTTTCTATGAAGTTAGCTGAGACAATTGGGGTCATTCAACCTGGAGATGAGAAGGCTCTGGGTAAACCTTACAGCAGCTTTTCAATACTCAAAGGGGGCTTATAGTAAAGATGGAGACCTTTTACCAAGGCCTGTAGTAACAGGACCAGGGGTAACTCTGAGAGAGGGTAGATTTAGATCAGATAGAATTTATAAAGTAAAAGAAGTGACATAAAGAAAAAAAAATAATATGAGGGTGGATTAATATGAAACACTGGGACAGGTTGCCAGAGAGTTTGTGGACTTGTTATTGGAAATGTTCAAGATCAAGTTGGATGGGGCTTTGTGCAACCTAATCTAGTGGAAGTTGTCCCTGTCCACGGCAAAGAAGGTAGAACTAGATGACATATGATCCTAATTTTACTCCAAGATCGTATTTGTATGTGTGCCTCTGTGTATCCTAAACATTGCAGAGTATGGGTTACACATTTTGTAAGTACGAAGGCCTGAGTTGACTCCGGTGATACATAAATCTACTATTTCATGAAATACGGAACTGCATCTAACCTTAATCCTGCCCAACAAAATCATGTCATTGGTCCAGACAGCTCCACTGACACTACCTGTAAATAAATTTCTTATCTTTATTGGGCACAGTTATTTCTGTGTGTTTAGCATCTGGCTAGTACAGTGAATATAAATATTTTGTTAATTTTTTTTTTCTTGTCTACATATACCATTTCCTTCTGCTTCCTAACAAGCTATGAACTCACTAGTAGGAGAATACCTGAAGGGTGTCAAGCAGAGAATGTTTGTTTCAAGCATGGTGCTTATGCTGTATAAGAGCAAGCCTATTCATATTATTAGGTGCAAGAAATGGCTACCTATGCTTATCAGCTGCAATATCTACACAGGAAGTGCTTAAGTGCAGGGTAACTACTCTGTGCTTTAACAAGGTTTAAGTGCATCAGAGAAGGAAGAATATCATCACTCAGTTCTAGGACTGAATATATCATTGTACTTGCATAAATTGTATGCCCATTTTACACTGGAGAAATGAGAGCTGAATATATGGCTGCATGGAAGGTATGACAATGAGCTGTAGTCCAGAGACCAGACATCACAACCATTCCCATGAGAGACTTTATTTGTTTCAGGTCACCATCAAATAAGTGAGCTTAAGCCTCTGAAAAAAGTTATTCAAATGAACCAATTGTATGATAGCCTGAGATGGACTGAACACTCACACAGTCAGTTCGCTCTTCTTATTGAGAAAGCAGTATAGCTGAAAGGGATTAACTTCCTAAACCTCCAGGCAAAAATCAAGCAAATTACCTTAAAACGTCCTTAGTGATGTTTTAATTAACTTAACTGCTTTTGTCCTGGAACAGATCAGAAGCACACGTGGTTGCTTACAGCTGTGACACATTAAATAGCTTCTTAGTCATTTATTACCTACCCTATGTGAACAGCCTCTGCTCAATATGGATGAAAGGTCTGCATGGTGGCATGCATGCTTTACATAAACTCAGCTCTGTGTGAAAGTGCAAACATACGACAGAGCAGACACTGGCACAATAAACACTTTATGGGAGTTGGCAGGAGGGGGACTGCCAGTTTCTGTGGGGGGAAAGGAAAAGGTCAGGGTTCATCATTCCTAAAGACCCAGGTTTGCTCAAGGTATTAAGAGGTTTGTTTGCTGTGCTAAAGCAATAATAAAGATGCCATGATTAAATTATTTAACACATTTCCATGGACCCAGGAAAAAATATGCTAAGAAATCAAAGTGCATACGACTTTTTGATTTCAGGAAGCAAGAAACCCTAATATAATGTTCTTGTTTCAAGGAAACTTGTTATTCTACAGCTTATCAACCTTTCACACAATAGTATTGTAAAGAATGAGAGCAACACAGAAAATGCATTTTTATAGCAAGAGGTCATTCCAGGGATGTATAAAACATAATGTGTAAAGGGAATGTGTCTCTGATAAGAGCAATTATTAAAAGCTTCTGGTTTAAACTGTTTTACTGGTAAAAATTTACTGCAGAGAGTGGAGCCCTTCTAGGGAAGGGTGGTTTAAATTAAAGGGGAAATAAACACAAGGCATATCTGTGCAATATTTCCTGCCAATGCACTTACATTACTTCTAGCCCATTTTCCATTGGAGAAATGAGAGCTGAATGCATAGATCCTAATGAAAAGCTGTAAGAAAAACTGATTTAAGGCTTCTGGTACTCTGTAGAAGAATAATGATTTGGGAAGAAATATTTCCATATTTCCAATAAACACATGATGAAAACTAGTTTACAGAATGAAAAGGGTTTTCTTTTTCTTTTGTATAAAAAACATTTAACATTTAAAAATGATGTCCAGACAGAACAAAACACAAGTGGATCCACATTTTAAAAATAATCATCTCCAATGAACTAATATTCTTTCTTGGTCTTGGCAGTGCCATCATCTCATTTTGTTTCTCAGATTGACTATGACTTCTTTAGGGATGATGGCTCTTTCTGCAGTCAGGTCCCACTGGTAAAGCAGTTCTCATTCACTTTACACAGCTAGACTGATGTTATTGTTAATTCTTCATATTTATCGTTATTAAATCATCTCTTTGTAACTTTGCTTCGTTGTTACTGGAAGCACCTCTGTAGGCTTTACAGCTCTCGTTTGACTCCTTTTAAACACACCATTTCTTGTCTGCCATTTATATTATAAAACTTCTATTTGAATCTCTCTATTGGCTGGGCTTTTTCTGGTTTTGCTTTTTTGTTTTTTTTGTTTGTTTGTTTGTTTGTTTGTTTTTGGTTTTGTTTTTGTTTTTGCCTCTGTTTCAGGCACGTCAGCATTGTTCAGTGGAGTACAACCTGCCTTATTCTTTTCCCTGTACTATACATGAATCTTCACTTTCTTAATGAAATCGCTAAATTTCTTGATAAAAATCTCAGTTTTTTAATTTCCTTTCAGTCCTTCTCAGTGTAACCAACTTTCCATCTTTGCAAATTATCTATCCTGTTACCAAACTGTTCTTAACCATCATTGTTCCTAAACATTATTAGTTAAAATATTCTTTTGTCATCCTCATATCTCACTGATAAAACATAATATATTAACTTACTTGCTTTTATAATTCATCACCCATTTGTACTGGATCTGTCTGGGAAGTTAATATTCTTCATAATACTAAGTATTTTATCTAAACCTATGATTTTTCTGACTTTTACTCTTTCTTTTCTCTTCCCCTGTCCAAGTGGGGGTGGTGGAAGGGGAGGTGAGTGAGTGGCTGTGTGGCACTTACTTGCCTACCAGGGTTAACCTATGACACTACTTCACAATATTATTTTAGTTATTTATAATTTTGGTAAACTTCAACTGTTTCTTCTAAAATTTTCCATACTGAATGGTGCAGGAAACTTATTTTTAGTCCTCTAAACATACCCAATAGTTTCCTAAAGTAAAGGGAACATACTCCTACCTCTTATAGTTCTATTACCCCTGCCTTGCAGGTCATGACTTTTGGCAGTCGGCTGCCACCATGTCTATCCATTTGTCATCTTTCTCAAAATGCACTGAGGCAAGGTGTTAAGATCCTGAAAATGTACTTCTGCACAAACTACTGGGCTAGATCCCGAAATTTTTGGTCCATGCTGGCTGTATTTCAGCACACAGATGATTAGCACCTTCTCTTCAGCCGTACTTCTGGACTGCAGTAGTACTTGCTGGATATGAGCCTGCCAACCCATTCACAGGGCAGGAGTTGCCTTAGCTGCTTCAAGGTTATACTGACAGAGAACGAAACTGTGTGGTTTTCATTCAGAAGCAGCAAAAACTAGGCCAACAGAGAAGGAAGAGAAAGAGGTAGGACTGCACAAGAAATAATTTGAATATGCAAGCATCAGTAATGGATAGCAGTGGATTGTGAAGAAAACAGTATTGGAAACTGAGTCAAGGAGAAGGCTGAGAAAGACAAAATAGAGAAGACGGAAAGCAAATGAATAGGTTAATGTAGATTATGTCTGTGAGCAGATCTAGTTGACTTAGAAAAAAATAAAGGGAGGGAAGAGAGGAAAGAAACCAAAAGGAGGGACTGAAGGAAAGACTGGAAACATGCCAGGAGACAGCTTTAACAGGTAACAAAGGTACAGAAAGACAATATGCAATGAATGGATGAAAAGAAGGTAAAGACCTTAAAAAGGGCAGGAAATATCATAAAGATTCTAGGAAGGTAGAACGGTAAGAACTGGAAATGATAAAGGGATTAGAGTACAATGTGTAAAAGACCCTATGCTACCACATACGCCTTTCTAGAACCTGAAATAGAAATGAAATAATAGGTAATTTGCACAAGGATCACTAGATGCAAAAACATATATACAAATGTGGAAAGGTATATATGGCTTCCAACATAGAATCATGAAAATATAGAATTGTTTAGGTTGGAAAAGACCTCTAAAATCATGAAGTTCAACCATTAAGCCAGCACTGCCAAGTTCACCACCAAACCATGTCACTAAACACCACATCTACACTTTAAATACCTCCAGGAATGGTGACTCCACCACTTCTCTGGGCAGCCTGTTCTAACACTTGACAACCCTTTCTGTGAAGAACTTTTTCCCAATATCCAATCTAAAGCTCTCCTGGTGCAATGTGAGGCTGTTCCCTCTTGTCCTATTGCTTGTTACTTGGGAGAAGAGACTGACCCACACCTGGCTACAACCTCCTTTCAGATAGTTGTAAAGAGAGATAAGGTATCCCCTCAGACTTCCCTTAAGGGCACAAGGCTTCATTACAGTTGGACCATTACATGGAAGTTTTCAAATATCTCAGAAGCTCACCACCACACTTATTCAAAACAAAATGGAGGTTAATAATAACAATAACAATAATAATTCCAGTGTGTATCTGCTTCACTAAACAACTGTGTCACACTGTAACAGCTCACTGTGTAGGGGAGATGCTTCTAATTGTTTTGTAACAATACCCTAATTGAGACTGTTTGTTAATTGGTTACTTTGTTATCAATCCCCATGTTTTTGGTGTTTAATTTACCTGTGTGAGTAATGTTTCCCAATCTTTCTCTAGAAAACTAAAATGGACAAGTGTGAATTAAAAGTATTTATTATATTCCAGAAATGCCAGAGAAAGCATTAAATTTATGAGAAGGTAGTATATGTTCTGAATGGGAAGAAGTATTCTCAATAGATTAAACAAATGAGAGCAAAAATAACTTGAAACTACATATGACCCTGATTCCTATTGCTTCTTATTTTCAGACAGATGTACCTATCAAAAAAAAAATCAACAAAAATAATTAAAACCCTGATAAAAAAATCAAAATTTCTTCTTTAGCCCTATCCCAGACAGAAAAGAAAAATAATATTATTTTGAATTGTAATAATTTGAAAAAGTGAATGTTTGATGCAATTTTAAATTTGTTTTTGGTACTTCAATCTCTTGTAAAGTTAAATCCAATTTTAATATATGAAAATTTATACAATTAATATACATATACCACTTCCACATGTTAAACCATTTCATGGAATTGTACGGAGACCTTATGAAATAAATACCACATCAAAAATGAAAGCAACCTTAAGATGCTTATTGGAGAAGGCTATGTTTTTTCTAAACAACTTTATGTTGTATTTTATGGGCATGATTTTTTTTCTGAGGAATGCTTTTAGTAATCTACTAAAAACACAGTTCCCTTAGTGTTATTACCTAACAAAGTTTAGCATTGTTTCCCTACTATATAAACTTGAGTTTTTGATTTTATATTACAATATGAGTGCAATCATTTCTAAAAATCATTTATTTTCAGTGAAATATCAGTAATAGAATGCAGAACAGTGTCAGCTGTTACAAACGCTAGAAAGTAATTATACACTAGATGTGATTTTATAACCCTAAAGGTGTAAATGCAGCAAAAATAAGATCTATGGAAAACTGATTTATCATTTCCCTTTTACTTCTGAAGGTATTTTTAGCAACAAGAGGGCAGTCAATGCCAAGAAGTGATGGCTGTTGTCTCTTTGCTCTCTCTTGCAATGTCTGTCTGCAAATTCTTGTGAAGTTATATAATACCTCCCCATAAATTCAGGTGGCAATTTTTCAGAAAGCCAGAGAAATTGACTTAAAAATTGACCCTGAAAAATCATGCTCCAGAAGCAGCTGTGGATTCTGTTTCTTAATGACGTTGGAAGCAAAACCCATTTCTTTTTCAAGGGTACTGCCTTTTTTCATAATCAAATTTTCAGTTTTCACTTGCTGGGGAAAAGTCCCACATTATAGCACTGCCTTACAGAGAAGAGAAGCCTCCATTTAATTTCTGCTTATGCAGTACACCTTACCTGGTACACTAGGAAATCATTTGTCAGTTACACATGGAAAAAATTCCACTTCTACATGTGAGCTTGACACAAATATATAAATATTCTGCTGGAAGCTAACTCTTCTCAGTTTTAATGCATCAACTAATATATTATCTTCCTGATGTATCTGCACTAGAGTTATTTTGCCAAGCCAATTCACCTCTTTTGGCAAGAGGTTTTGAGCGTCTAACAATACATTCATTTGCATACGTTTCTTTTAAACATCTATTAAAAAATGTGACTTTGACATAAGGAATTAATACAGCTTTTGTTTCAGTTAGAAATTTCTTTCATCCAGGTTCACCTGTAAATAGCAGAGGCTGGATATGATCCTGTGTCATAACTGACCCTCACTCTACCCCGGTACAGCTCTACTGCTATATGATCTTTATCGCCTTTGTAGAGCAGGATCCCACTGTCTTCATCCGTGGCAATCTAGTTAAAAGAAAGAAACTCTTAGAAAGAACTAAAAAATAAATATTAAATAGAAATGCAGTATTAAGAGAATCTCTGAATTTACTGCCATAGTCTATTACTTCATTAAAAAATTCTCTCTTGAAGGACAATCTGACAAAATTCTTTCTCTTCCTATCCAAAAGCCCATCTACTTCACTTGGAATATAAAGTTATTGCATTGACTTTTGTAAATTTTTAGCTCAAACTGTGAAAAGCTCTGTAAGCGAGCCATTGACAACTTTGGGTAGTCTTCCACTTTATGAAGAGTCATTTACTCTCTTTTCCAGAAAAGAGAATCTACAACACAAGCAAACTTACCTGTAGCGTAATATTGGTTTGGGGGCGTATCTTAGCTGAAGGGATTTGCAGATAGGATTCTTTGTTGATGAAGTTTATACTAATCAATTTTTCACATTTCTCACCCTGGTAGCCTGATAAACACTGACAGATTGGTTCACTTTCTTTTATGATACACTGGGCTCCATTTTGACACTCATAATTATCACAAGGGCTGGTGCGAGGTAGAACCATTGGTGGTGAAAACTCACAAAACAAGCCACTAAATGAAAACAGAAAAAAAATATCAGTATTTCCAAGAAAAAAACCCAAATTTGACAGAAGACATACATGTTTCTACTGTCTTCAGATCCTTCTCACCTGTATCCTTCTGGACAAATGCATGTATATCCATTAACTGCATCAGTACACTGAGCTCCATTTTTACATTTGTTGTCCTGGCAGTCATCAAAGTCAATATCACAATGCTCACCTACATATCCTGGTGTGCAATCACATCTGTAAAACAGGAAATCAAATTGGATAGCACAGTGCATTTTAATGATACACTATGCTTATGACAAAGATAAGGAACTACTGAATTTTTTAAAGCTCAAGAAAAAAAAAGGCATTACTGTGACTTTGTGTGTAAAGACTATGTAGCTTAATCCCATTAGTATACAGGAAATCTACATGTGTAATGAATACAGGTTTGCTGGTTAAACATATCTACAGACCTACCACTATACTGAAGAATTGTGGTTTAAATCCAGAGAGCCCTCATGAATAATTTTGACAGTATTTACGAACAATGCAGAAAACATTAAACATAATAAATACGTTCAGTCGGTGAAACAGAGACAAATCATCCAGGGCTTGCATTGTACTGATGGTTATTTTCTTTGTCAATTGAACAACTCTAAATGGACCAATGGTCCATTTATACTGTTTGGAGGTTATGCATAATTTTCTTTCCCTTGAAGTTCCATACTACAAATAGCTTCCTCGTTAGTGAACTAACAGAAGTCTAAAAACGCATCATCTTCCCTTCCTGAACCCCCACTGAACTAGAAACAGCATATCCTCAAGACCATATGTAATGTTTTTTGTTTGTTGGTTTGGTTTTTTTTTTCCAAAGTGCAACTGTCATTGCTAATGCTAGTGGCATTTCTTCAGGGAATTCGCATATAGTAGACAGTGAATGCCCACAACTCTGTGAAAAAGTAATGGAAAATATTACAAATCTATGCATACACAATCCTTTTTTTTTTTTAATTAAGATGTTTTTAATTAATTTCATTAGATCTTGTGATTCCCTCCTTGGTGTTATTTCTGTGAGTATCTAAAACTTGCAAGAGTAATTTTAAACATTTGTGTAACTTTAAATTTAGTACTTAAAAAAAATGTCTCATTTTTATTAAACAACATAAATGAATAAGAAAAGTGAAAAAAGAACATAAAGCATGTGATTAAAAAGCTGACTGAGATACATTCTTGAAGTTTACTGCATGTACTATTTTCTGATGTAAAATCTCAGACAGGAAAAGGAAAGATTAATGAACTAGAAGTAAAGTATTAGATGCTTAGCTAGGTTTATGGAAGTGATGTGAAGAAAATAATCATACAGAAATCCAACAAGTTTTCTATTTTCCAGCTGAAAACTATCAACTTAATTTCATGTTCAATTGAATATTTAATCATTTTATATTTTTTGCATATTTTAAATAAAATAGAATTTTGTAAGTAGTAGGAACGATAATAATCTGATTTTAGCATAAAAGCATGCTGTGCATAAAAGAGGTACCTGTGAGAACAATTGAAAACTGTAGGTTTCCTATGTTTTTTAACATAAAGCCTATTACAACAACTTTAACTTGTGCATACTAATTAATTCTGATAAGGATATGGTGTAATTAAAGATTAGTTTTCCTGGGAATGGACTTCTTTAGTTTATATCTTCCAGTGTGCCTTCCTAATAATCTCTTTCACAATTACTTCTCTAAAAGCAGTATAATTATTCCACTTCAATTAAATACAATTATTTTCCTGCTGCCCAAGCTCCTAAAAGGACCATGATATAGACTATCCTATTTAAAATCTGTTTGGAACTAGAACCGGTAAGGATCAGTGAAATCAGTAAAACATACTTAAGATAATAATGTAGTTCTATATGAAAATAATGGCCTGTTCTGCCATAATGCTTAATAATAACCAAAATTAGTACTTTGGGAGCAGAACTTGCTTCCACTAAAACACAAGGAAAGGAAGCTAAGCAGGATAGAAAAATATGAATTTTGATTCAGTTAGACTCTAAAAATATTTCAGACTTACTTGTATCCTTTGGGTGTCAAGATACACTTTGAATCATGCTGGCAAGGATTCAGGTTTTGAGCACAGAAATCTAGTTTCTCCTCACACAGTTCACCTGAAATACAATGTATGTTGTCAATTCAGTGAAAACATCACAGTGACCTGAAAATAGTAGTTTCTATTTTAAAAGAAACGGCTACAACTTCTTTTGCATGCTTCTTGATATAGTAATTAATACCTTTTTAATAAATACTGATAAATAAATAGTAACACAGATATAATAACAATAAATAATAATATATCTGGTAACTCATTTATAAAAAGTATCAATTTCGATACCAATCATCTATCCATAAATACAAATGATAATTTTTTCAAAAAAATATTTTTTATTTACAATATTTATCTAGCTCTGCTGTACAGTAAAACAGTAGTGATTGCAAGTCTTCTTGCTAGAACAAAAAAGCCATCAATATGCTTTTCTCTTACTTATTTTTAAGCACATTACACACAGAAATACCCAGATTTGCACTATCACTATAAGTAATCTATTACCTGAAAAAAACCTGTTAATATCACTGCATGTCAATACAATTCCAATTATCCCAAAATGAAAACTTGTTTTCTACTTTTCGTTAAATATGACTCTCCATTTTTTGCATTTGTTAAAGTACCATAATTATCTATAATCTGTTCTGTGAAAAGAAAAGAAAAAAATATCTATGTCAAATGTCTACCCTTTCCTGCTGACAGAAGCAGTGGCTCTAATTTTCAACATGGGTTGTATAATCTATAAAATATTTTAATACGTTTAAAAATTATTTTATTTGCTACTTTATGACAAGGAAACACTTACAGGTTTGTAAACAGGTCAACAATGTCTTGTTTCCTGACTAACTAATCAAATGATAGCATGGATAGTGCACTCGAAAAGTTTATCACTGGTTTGTAAGATAGATATACTTTTTTCAGCATCCATATGAAGAATATATGCATAATAAACAGGTATAAACACTGTGCCTACTGAATTCAGGGACTGACAGGTTCACCAGACTCTAAAACTATGGAAGAAGTAGGGTTGTCCCTCATCCCTTTGTTCAGTAACAAGACATGAGCTAGCTAGCAAAGAGAACTGTACATCATAATGAGAAAGAAAAGAGCAGAAGAAAGCAGTAGGTGAGCAGATACTCTCACTGCTCAAACTGAACTTTCCTTCAAAGAGGCACAATATTTGGTATCCCTCAGTTTTACTTAGCTGAGCAGCAGTGGCTTGCTGGACAAATAAATGAAAACTTAAAAAGAGTTGAGGAACCGTCTATATTAAAGCAAGGATAGAGAAAAAGTCAAAACTGAACCAGGAGCAAAGATAGTTATGCTGTAAAAAAACACATTTGAAACATGCATTCTAAGTGTGATAAGGCATGGGACCTCTGTATCTCCAAAAATGAGAAGGCAAGCCAAAAAGCAGCTATACAAGTACTTTGCAGCCATCCAAAAGATCCAGACTGGTTCTACACAAAGATTTAAAAGTAAAATAAAATAAATTAATAGCACATTCCTAACATGGAAGTAGTGCATTTTCCCTACAAACCAAATAAAGTTTTGAGTTAACACAAGAAAATGGCCTTCAAGCACAGCCCACTTAACAGCCTCAGGAAAACTGTCAGTAACAATGTGACCTAGTCAATACATGGAGGAAACTGAATACAGATCAAACACAGGACATGAGAATGACTAATACAAAGGATTACAATTCCATCCTCAAAGCCTCTTCAGGCTCTCAATAGAATTATTAGTCTGGAAATGTGCAACTGTTATGACTAGGTCAGTGCACAAAGAATCCTGAAATACCAGGGATTCTTTGCATCCCATGATATTTCAAACAAAACCCGGATCCCTTTCTCTTTTCAAAGGGTTTTGTTCAAACAAATACATACATAAGAGGTAGTAATTCTTCACCTAGCATTTATTCAATTTGCAGATCTTGTAATAGCTAAAATCTGTTTAAAGGTCAGCAGTGCTTATGAGTGAGATATAAACATGGGAACAGAGAATTCAGATTTTAGGGATCGTGGGAATAGAATAAGCAAAAATTACTGTTCTTTTAACCTGTTTTGTGCACATTCCTATGGTTTAGAAATGTATATATGTGCCTACATATATGTGTTTATATATGCATATTTATATGCACCTATGCAAATATCTTATTATGGCATATACTCTATATTAAATTACATACAGAACTGAAAAATATGACACCCCAATTACAAATAATAAAAACATGGCTGTACAGTACTTACAAGACTTGGACAAAAACATCCACCTCTAAACATTCCCAAGATTAATTATTCTAACAGAATATCAGAGAATATCTGAAAGTGACACAATGAGTCTGTCTTCTAAGGGCTGGAGGCTTGCTGTCTCTTATACATTCACAGTTAAAGTTCAGTGAAAAAAACCCCAAAGTACCTAGAAAAAGAATATTTAGGACTAGCATAATAGGAGCAAGCATTCTCACCATTGCTGTCAACTTTATTGAACTGATTTTGCTGGAGGATACTAATTGGGCCATGAGTTAGATTATCATTGTACAGATTTCTGATATTTCTTACATGGCAAACAGCTTTATTGGGTAGTGTCTAAGCCTCTCTATTTTTGTAAATCCTCCCCCAGGTACTTGCAAAATACAGGATTTCTTAATTAGAGTACCTTCCATTTTAATATTCATAGGTTGATGGCCCTAATATCCTCATAACTACTCTGAAAGCTGAATGATCTCATGTGGAGTGCCCAGGGGCACTTGCAAAGTCTTAATTTCCCACTCGGAGCTGTGAGTCCTATATAAGGATTGGAAATTTAAGTTTTAAACAGGTTTACAGTTTTGAAAAATGTCCACTTCAAATCCTAAGATCAATGTTACACTTCCAGGCATACTGCAGCCAAACAGTTTGCAAACATCACCAGGTGTTTTGGGCATTACTGATAGACTTTGAACTGAGCACTCTGTAGAAAAGCACACAAAAGCAGGACTTTTTGTGCCATGACAGCATAAAAAGAATGAAACTTTCCCCTTGCATTTGCAAATTGCATGCACTGTGAAATAAGTCAGAATCATATCATTGGAATTTCAGTTAAACAGTCTGTTAGGAAATAGGAACCAAGGAAAGAGCATGGTAAGCATCATGGCCAGGTAGCAAAAGAATAATGTAAAAACCCCTATGAACATAAAAGTTAGCTTTACTTAAAGTACAAACCTCAATTATAAATAAAGAGTAGCATTCGTGGCAGACTTGTACACAGAATCAGTCAAAAAAAACCCCACAAAAAATTAAGGATAGAATCCAAACATGTACATCAGATACACCATTTCTGAATGAAGATATAAATACCAGAAGAACAAACCAAAATAACAGGAGTGCAAGGTCTTGTACTGCTAATAGATAATATTAATAACTGGTAATATATCAATTAAAAATTGATACTAGATCTGTATTCTGAATGGAGTATTCACATGACCAAAATAAAAATGTTTATGAAAAAGTTAACAAAAAAGGTAAATAAAATATGTGACATGGAATCTGAACCGCTGAAGAACATAGTTTCCTGATAAAGAAACATCTCCTTCAGCGAACTCAAAAAATGATGTGTTATTCAGAATTTAACTGAGACAAGGTTAAAGGGAGAAATTAATTTTGTTGAAATGAAAGAATAGTGATGAAAGTGAAACACTCATTGAAGGAAATATCAGATTTACTAAGTTAGGCTCCTTGACTTTACTGGAAGGAAATCTTAAAGAGTTCCCTGATTTGGGAAACATAATACAATGTTTAAAGAACATACTTCAAAATAATCAAAAAAGATTGTGAAACAAATGTCTCAATTCAAGGAATCTTGACACCAATGTGTGAGGACATTCTTTTATTCATCTAATAATATTGTAACTGAGGCTTCTGTAAGAGCTTGGCTAAGTAATTAAGTTTTTGAAAGATGGGAACATTTCTGTATGTAGGAAAATCAGCAACAGACTAGTTTGTTTAAAAATAAACAGTGGATAAAGTGTCAAAAATCCTGTGAAAAGCTTCCAAAGCTTAATTAGAAGCAGGAATAACTCTTTTCATAAGACATCTTGCTTAATTAATCTAGGGAGTCTGGAGTCTGGTATGAAGTAGCATTGAAACCAGTGGAAGTCTGTATGGTTGACAGAGTCCAAATGAACACAACCCTCCAAACTCAAGACAAATATTTACTGAGATTTTGCAGCTAGATATGGAGTATGATGCAGACTTACAGCCAGATGACACTATTAAATACTGATGATGAATTGGATGGAGTCCTTGATTAGCTAACCAAAGAGCTAAGTTTGCTAGATTCACAAGTCAATTTGTGTTTCCTCTGTATGTATTAATTCACTCATGACTTTACAAGATTATAAATCAGAAAAAAACCCCTTAATCATAGAATACTAGGTTGACAGGGACTTCAAGGATCATCTCTTGGCAAAAGCACAGTCCAGACAAGACAGCCCAGCACCCTGTCCAGCTGAATCTTAAAAGTGTCTGATGTTGGAGAATCCACTACTTCCCTGAGGAGATTATTCCAATGGCTGTGTTCTCACTGTGAAAAATTTCCCTCTTGTGTCTAACTGGACTCTCCCCAAGAGTAACTTGTACCCATTACCACCCCCCTTTTCCACATGACTCCTTGTAAAAAAGGGAGTCTCCATCTTCCTTGTTGTTACCCTTTTAAATACTGGAACAGGGTGATAGGGTCTCCCCAAGCCTTTTTTAAAGCTGAACAGACCCTTAACTTTGGATTTTTTAATATATAAACATGTAGTACAACAAATAATGAGTAACAGGATACATAATGAGTAATGAGGTGAAAAAGGACTTACATTTCTGAATGAAGAGAGCTCTAACAAAAATGGACATGGGCTTCTGAATATAATTGCATATTGCTAATTAGAGGTAAGCTTATGAAGAAATAGGTTTAAAATGACCCTTAAATCATTAGCAAAGGTGAATATGGTATTAGAACAAAAACTAGAGACAGAATGCAAAAGCAACAACGGTCAGATTTAATTATCAAAAATCAGGTTTTGGATAGAAGACTTAT